TACAACAGACATTACTCCGACGGACTTACGGACATCCACTTAGACTTTGATGCTGATCAAGAATACATACACTTTGTGGAGTCTCTGATGCTTTTTTCTGGGCGTTGCAAACGTTTTAACAAAATGATTATACCACTCATCCTTCGGTGATGGGTACAACAAAAAAGAAAATTTATGTTTATTTCGTCTCGAATCTGGTTACTTCCTTTATAAATTCAGTAAATGTATCGGGTAATAACATTTTGAAGCTTTTCATTTTTGCTTTTGCTTATATTAGTTTGGTATTTGTAGTCGGCGAATTATGTCCTGATTAAACTTTATACTGTCCGAAGGAGCAAATTAACATCTGAATTTATAAAAAAATATCACAGGGACCGTATATAAAGAGATCTCGTAGTCTTCTATCGTTCCAATATTTTTCGATTTGAAATCAGAAAATGGCATAAAGATCCATAATACTTAACTTAACTTGTAATGACTACACACACTATAGTTTTGTTCGTTCAAGTGCTTACCGGCCGCCGAAGAATGGGGGTCTACTCGCTGTTATGTAACATCCAAAGGAAAGCTACATATGTCGTATAATGTGTACATATTCCTGGTCAGGATTAAATTCTAAATTGATCTAGCCATGTCTGTTCGTTTGCCTATCTGAGTGAATGTCGATCTTCGACACTCCCCTGGTCGTAAAAATGAAGAGATCAACTTCAAATTTAGTAGAAGATCCTTCCCAGGCAAATATAACTTTCTTACCTGATTAAGACTAACATTTACTTCGAATATGGCATTCGTGCTAAATTATTTGATTTTGATGCTTTGATGTTTTCGATCTGATATGCTTCTAGCCCAACCATCACTTTGCACTCTCTGGAACTGGAACATGAATAGAATGCAACGTTTTATTCATTTATGTGCATTGATGCCTTTCCTTCGCCCATTTTTGCCGTAATGTCATTTTATGAGCAAATTTAAGGTTAACTATTAACTATGTTAAGTTGATGACAACGGAATATAAACTGAAAATGAAAGATACGCCTGATTCAAGGACATACTATGTCGCAACCATTGCGGAAGTTAATGGCATGAGCATACGTTCGTCGCGTATACATTGTTCGTTAAAGCAAATGTGAAGAAAGATTTACGATTTAAAAATGTGTAAATCATTACAACCAGATATATCCATCCATCTGTTTATAAATTTTTTTACAACTCAAATATAATAAACATATGCTTTAGGTTGAGCTTTTGATGCTTATCACAACAAACGCGGCCAAGTTCTGTGAAAAGCAGAAGCAAATAACATGATTAAGAATAATAGCGCACCGTGTGAACTATGATATCTTTTATTGAATATACTTACTGTGTGGCTGTGTGGTGTGGTGTAGCCAAGTGTATTATAAGAAATATAAAAAGCGGAATTGCAGAAGAAAAAAGACGAAACCATTCACTACATCCAAGCTATGCATTTTGAAAATATCATAAAAAAATTTGATTGCAGTTAACAGTATATTATTACCATAACATGTTGCACTATGATGTTTCATAGAAGTGGGCCGCTATTTCGTCAACACATTCTGAACCAACCTTTCACTAATGTACCTCTATTTTCCAAAAGCAAGATTTTTCTCTTGATGCAGTTTTCTAAAAATGCATTTACTTCTGTAGAATGTCACGAATAAGTTTCGTAACGTTGCCAATAATTTTATATATATATTTATATATTGTAAAGCAGATATCTGATAACATAAATATACTTTTGAGCAGAGCAAGTTTCTGATTTAATTTCTTGATCATCAGGTTGTCTCTTCACAATAGTCCTACAGTAGCTTGTGATGTGACACTTGGAATGATTTTGGAAAAGACGTTAGCACTTAGTACGATAAGTAAATGGAAGGAAGTATACAAAAGCAAGTTTTTATAATTCCAGGTGCAATTTAGCAATCAATAAAATCGATACGAATTTTTGTGGTTGAATATGGAGTGTGTGTGTGTTGGAGGACCTCAGACGAACTACTTCGTCTTCATTTTGAAATAGCGGAGGATATGTCGATACTCGTTTTTTTCATTCATTATTTAATTAAATCTCTCCTTTTTACTTGTTGCCAGAACACTACATACGTGAACGAAATGTTAACTGTCTTTTTGCAACTAGCTTTCATAACGTAATTCAATATAACAAACAACTAACATGTCAAGTGTTACCTTAACGAGAGCCACGCGGATATGCAAGCACACTTACTCGCACGTAAGTCTGCATTTGAATGAAATTTCCTTAAACATAGAAGGGTTTTGTATGAATAATAGAAAATAGATATTCTATGTGACGTTGTTTAAAGAAACAGAAGAAGAGGATGCAATTTATATATAAATAAGGGGAGGTACTAACTTAATTTACCCGCACTTCTCTTCTCTTCCCTCCTCTATATCAAATTCATAATTATGTCCACACATATCAACCGAATGGTGGTTGGTGACGCACTTATTATGTTAAAGCGTTCGCAACATCGCTATTGAAATTACAGCAACAAAAACATTAGGCATTTTTGCACGCAAGGTGATATTGAAAGCGAAAATGAGCCAAGTCGGTCAAAAAGCATACCTACAGTGCGACATAAAGTCAAGTAAACTGCAGTAGATATGACAGTAAAAGTTTTGCACATATATTCTATAGACGATTCTACAGTACCAACGGGGAAGGGGAAATAATCGTCCACTCCTACTAAACTTTATAGAATATCGGAACTTCTTGAAGGTTTCCTTTTTAAGAAGAAGTAATGGGTATAAAAGATTCGGTCATTGTTTAACACATTTCCTTATGTCGTCGTTTTTTTGCTTGCTGAAGATATCTTCCTCTCCTACTTAATACTTGCAGTATTTTCAATAGAGACAATTATTTCGTTTGGATGAGTAAGTAGTATAATTGACTGGATTAAGGTCGCCCAGGCTCTAAGAAAACCTTAGGCAGCAAGTTTTATCACAAGTACATATACATGCAACAACAACAACACGAACGATCCCGAACGATCCTTAGTACAGTCGATTATATGACTTAGATCCAAGTTGCTTTCAAAACATTCAGCTTCATGCAGAACATCTAAAGTATTACTTATAACGATTACGTTATCGCCGTCAACCGTCATAATTATAAACTTCTCCCTACGTGTGTAGGTTATTAGATTTCAAAACAGCATGACATCTCATTAATATCCGATTATGAAATCATAGAGACCTTATTGGCAAGTTTAATATTATAGGACATACGTATTGATTTGCTGTACACGATATAAACTCGCTAAGGATAATGAATAAATTCTTTTCAAAAAATAATGCTTAATATTACTGTACATCATTGGCTTAAATGGCTGCTTAGATATTCAAAAATGATATAGAAAGATGATAGCAGGCGTGTCAACGTTTTAGATAGTGAAAAAATTTGAATTTCCCGACATGGCTATATATCAAGCCACCAAGATGTTTCTCGAAACACGACCTTTCTAAACGATACGCAGCATAACTCCAAAAGACTCTCTCGTTTTTCGTTAGAATTTTTTAGAGTACCTTCGAAATGCCGCCGTTTAGAGAACAATGTAGGTTTTTTTTTTGGTAAATCAATTTAGACGTTAGTTATTAGCCAAAGATTGACTTTTTCGATATAAAATTGAGTCGCTTACTCGCTAAAGACAAATAAATAAATAAATATTTCCGAAAAAATCCGAGGTCCTCGTCTAGTTACAGTTATATAGATAAAATGTTGTTTGCAACCCCCTTGACATGAAGATGCCTCCCGTCGCGAATGCTATTATTACTGTTGTATGTTTCTCGCCATCTCGAAAGAATTGTCAAAAAACGCAGACTTTTAAGGCTTTCGCAATGGCTTTACCACAGAACAAGCTTCGCAAACTCTGCCTAAATGCAAAGGAAATAACCAACAATGTAAGAATTTTTCCAAAGTGAATTGATTAAATCTCTCGCTTTCTTAAGTTATTGCGAATGAAGTGTCATAGTATTATTTGTAAAGATGTAACCATTCTTCTCTTCCGGCTGTGTGAAGCATCAGAAATCAATTTCAGAGCAGTAGCTATGCTTTTTCAGAAAAAGAAAATTTCCGTTACTGTGAATACGAGAGCACACTTACATCGTTATGAGCATCTATTGATGGCAATCACGAGAATAGACTTGCCATTGAGGCGCGACCGATCGTCCGTGTACAAACTGTTCATGGTCGATGATGGATTTAATAACTGACTGAGTCGTTAGACTAATCAGCGCATTTTCTACGACAAGTGCTTAGAAGAAAAGGGCAAGAAGCGTTTGAAAAGCACAAAAGTTCTCATAACCCTATCAAAGATCAGTTTTGGAAAGTAATTCTTGTGCAATATCGTCTGAGCTCTCGAGATATTTGATTAAAATAGAAATTATTGGTAGAGACGTCAAGGCTTAATAAGATAAAGTACGATGTGTCACTTTGGTTGAGTTTTTTTAAGAAGTGACACAAGCTTCGAAGTAGCCGATCAATGAGGAAGCGCTGAGAAAAATCCATAAATATTAAAAAATATAAAAATTTGCGATTAAATGGCGCCATTCTTGTGGCGCTGCGACTCGCTGCTATCTGCCTATAGCGTTGACGACAATTTTTTTTCATTTAAATGTTTTCTCTCACAGCCTAACACGCAATTGAACCCACTATTTTTACCCGTATTCCAATAAAATGCCTAGGATGTTAAAATTTAAATAAATCTCATTTATTAATATTTATTATAATGTTTCTAAATATATCGCCAGTGTTTCTTTATTGTTACAATTTTCTAATTATGTGCAAACGTTTATCTCTGTTTTTTCATTACAATTATATTTCATCTACTTTTGATAATTAAATTAAATTAATTACTATTTCATCTTTTTCAGGGATTCTCGCTTTTTTTTAAGGCTCTACATTATCTATTTTAGATGAGATTATAATAATACCTAATATATTTCTATAGTTCTCTATACCTTTGGTTTCGTTTCTTTGTTTTATTTTTATTTTTATTTTTTTTTTTTATGTTACTTATATACAATGTTTTCATTTATCCATAAAAGCCTTCATTTCTCTATTGGGTTTCAGTTACTACGATACATGTTCTTAAATTTCCTCAGTAACTTGCAAAGCATAGCATTCGGACGGACGTGTTAAAATTAGAATCTCACACCGCCCAATAATTATACATATATGATGAGTATTTGTGGAGGTATTTTTCAACCCTCTTGTTTTATTTTTAGTGTGAATAATAACATACATGTGTCGGACCGGGGACTTAGTGAGTGATATGATATATTACATAAGAATTCTTCCTATATTTCCTTTTACCGAGGACTTTTACATTGCTTTTTATATTATTTCCAAAATTTTGGATTATTTTTACAATTAACAGCGTGATAGGTAGGTAATAAATTACTTAACGCAATCGAACATATCCCACACATCTATGCTTGGATATGGATAAACTGAAGTTTTTTTTATTGCTCGCACAATTAGTGGGCTAATAAGGTCGTTTGATAACGATTGCACATATTTTACTAAAATGCTTTCTTTAGCCGTTAGCCATTGCAAGAGTATTTGTTTACAAACATCCCCACAAGCGCTTATAGAAATGCTTAATATCGTACAATTTTTTTGTCACAGAAGGACAGCTTTTTGAATAGAAAATGGCGACGCCAACATTTACACACGGCATTAGAATTGTCTGTCCGATTTTTTTGAAAATTTTGTGAATCATTTTTAAATTATTATCGTTGGTAACGAGTATGAAATGACGAGACGCACGTAGTTGTCAAATATTTTATTTTTTCTGCACGTAAAGACGGACTCTTTCACTTTTTTTCACTCACTTTTATTTTTTTATCACATTAATGTTGTAGTCATCAAGTAATAACATATAGATGACATGTAAATTTTAGACTCTACTGAGCCCTGTATTATTATTATATGCCCAATACCGTAATGAATTTCCTGCACTTTGGAACGAAAGTTATATGCACGAAGCGAAGCGATTCTCAATACAATATTTAACTTTATTAAAATCAATAGACTAACCATCTAGAGCATCTTTTTTTTTTTTCGAATAGAGCCGATGGGCTTAATTGCTAGTGGTGGTCATACTATTTCAGTCTTTGATCTAAATAATGATAAAAATATTTATTTACTTTCAGGTAGCATGAGGTCACAATCGATTGAATGCGTGAGTTTAGAGGAATTAAGAAATGTGCACGACATGTGGCGACTTAACCACAACGTCGATTTTTCGGAACATTAGAGAACCTTTCTCTTCGTCTTACACTTAGTAATACATTTCCGCGGTAAAGCTCGCTTACTTCCTGTCATGTGGTTCCCAGCATGGTCTTTGTTTGTCACCTTTTGAATAATATGACATAAATATTTATTGATGGAATGAAATACGTTTGCCTGACATTTCATATGCACAACTGATATACTCACTTCGTAGACGAAAGGGTGTAAGAAATATGTTTTTATGCACATAAAAATGAAAAAAACGTTTTACAAACCATCCACAAGAAATTTTTTTCTTATAAATTAATTTATGGACATATGCAGTCCGTAAAAATGATCCATTTTTTGGACAAATAAATTGCTTTTCAAAAATAATTGAGTGTTTACGTCGTTCCCAAATAAAGTTATTTGGGAGGCTTTCAGAATTTGAATGGCGACAAAATATTTTGGATTCTCTGAGCACTGTGCTTTTGACAAGCCTGTGAATGCGGCTCATGCATAATAGGAGAGAGAGACAGAGAGAGACTGACGAAATTATAAAATGAGCATCATTAGCAATAATGGGTTCGCGGGGAAATTTTTCATAGTTTACTTGTTGGGCCAAGCCAAGTAGGCAGAACGCGTCTTAATACTTAGTGTTCCTCTCGTGGGCTATAAAAGAACCGCTTTCAATACCCACTGGTATGTGTTGCAGAAAGGAAGTGGCCTATCGAATGCTTGTAATATAATCACCATTGCGGCCCATTTTGCAAAGTGACTCAAAGGAGCTCGGCATTCGACTATTCGACTGCTGAGGAACACATCGACCATCGTCAAATACATGTATTTTATTCAAAGCATCACAGAACATTTCCCTCCAACCTAATAATTTCGTAAAACTAAACAGCATCCAGAAGTCACATTTGAAGAAGTCACAACTTTTAATAAATTTTATCGATAACAAATAATTTTATCGATGGCACACGATTTAATCGGTAACAGTTCGACTTAAAACGAAGACAAATCTCTATATAAACTAATACCGGGATTGTGTATTATATCTGATCGCCTGAGAAGCTCATACGGCAGCTCATGCGTCCCAACATTGCGAAAATTTTAAATGTTTCAGGTTTAAGTAGAAATTTCCATCTCAGAATACAGAGAACGATCGGAGCTGATATTTGGCTTACATTCACTTCACTGCAAAATATGATTTTTATAAAATTTGGTCAAAGCCCATTATAATTTCTGCATATTAGGTCCTGTTTATTACAAATATCAACGTTCGGCCGTATGTAGAAAATTATAAATTGCACTGGTATTGCGTAAGGGTGTATAGTAGAGCAACCGAGGTTACGACAACAATTGAGAGGAATTTTTATAATTTATTTGTGCAAGGTTGAGGCATTGTATGGTCAGAACGTTGACAAGCAGCTGAAGTAAATGTCAATAGGTTAGTCGCAAAGCCACAACCGTCAAGTGCCAGAGCACAGGGTTTACACCAAGGTGCATCTGCTTTGGATATTGCATTCAATCTGCGTCTAGATCGTAGTAATTCCTCTGCGTACTAAATATCCGGTATATTGTGTTGACCTGGCAGCCCACTGTCGAGATTTTTGGCCATCACAGCGGCTGCTTCGCTGATTGTTTTACTTTTCGCACAATAAGCGTCATGAACGTCACAATCGCTTAAATTTGGTTCAGATGTAGAAAATTTGTGGAGATCGCTATCGGACATATTAGTCGTATTAACAACTGAACTGTTACCATGTTCAGGAGCACGCAAATTGAGTTTACCGTATTCGCTAAACGATGTCATCCCAAAGGGATGGGTATACGCTTCTTGATGATAAGATGGCGCTGCATAGCTTTTCTGCATAAAGCCGTGTAAACTGTTACTACTCACGGTACGTTCTAAAATTTCGCCCCAATATTTTTCGGAAAGTCGTTCAATATCCGGTCGAGTTGCAACACCTAAGCCATGGCTATGTTGATGATCAATACCGCTGCCACGTACATGAAATGAGGCGCTATGACTAAGGCTATTGGCGCGAGACCGTGTACATATACCGAACACAGAACTGCTACCACCTTCACCAGTTTGATTGCCTGCATCAGTTCTAATACTATTTCCATTGCGCTGAGGAAGGCGGGATGTTGGTGGCTCGGGCGGCATAGGCAACGTGGTGATTTCAAAATCTGAATTTATGTGACAACACGGCGACTTGTGGTCTATCTTGTCCTCTTGGCTTTTGCACTACAAATAGAAAAATGAAAAAAATCAAGACAAGAGAATTTCATTCATTCAACGGCAAAAACATACGCAATCAACTAACGCTTTTGCAAATAGTAGAAGTTTAGTAAATTCCTTTAAGTATATTTGCACCTATTCGAAGTCTAATACGTCTTAGTTCCAAAGTTTACATCATATACCTCTTATGTAAATAGAACAGACAGACCTTGACCACCAATAAGAAGAAACGAACAATGGTTAACACAAAACCGGGACAAACTTGGTTAGGATTTCTTTCTTCCTTTAAACACTACTTTAAGGGATTTGAAGAAATAATTAATAAATTGCTTATGCTAACGAAAATCAATCGAAAGTTTCCGGCTCGAGCATAAGTTCCAGGTGATCACCTGCTAGTGCAGAATACGTGATCTAAGTTCTCTATTAACCAGCAAAAGAATCTGAGGCATTTCATAAATTTTAGGAATAACCTGACGGAATTAACTGATGTTTTTTTTGAAGACAGTTAAAAATGCCGGAGATCTCTAGCGCTCAATAATTTGCTGGAACCTCCCGCGCCATTAATCACGCTTTATATACGAACCGCAAAGCTTTCTCTAATAATTTTAATCTCTTTAGGACGCCGCAAAATGCATATGTGTTTTCATTGCATCCCTTTAAACATCAGTTTACGCTTTCAAATAGCCCTAAAGGAGACTTTGCTATAAATAAGCAGAAGTATGAGAAACGATTTATTTACTTTCATTATTTATCTTTATGTTCTTCTGTTTATGAATTTGTCTGTGCTTTTTTTATATTTTTTTTTTTTCACTTCCACTATCGAACGATGGGGGTATACTCGTTTGGTCAACCCGCTTGCAACATGCTGAAGGAAACTTCCGAGATCCCATTCTTGATCAGTATTCAATTCTAAATCAATTTAAGCATAACCATCTGTTCGTCTGTCTAATGTCTACGATAATCATTCGTTTCGATCGCAAACATGAGGATTTCGATTTTATGTTTGGCAAACGCAAAGGAGGTCAGGTCACTGCAGCATAAACTGACAACACATATGGCTCGTTACTTATAAACTACAACAGATACTAACACAAAAATTTGCATATATATGTATAGATGATCTTACAGCGTAAGTAAAAAACTTGAAAAAATCAGCCATGCCCGCCTATTATCTCAATATCATTTTGTTTAAGTTTTTTTATCTAAAAAATGTAGTGAGTATGGAAAATTCGGCCATAGCTGATTATAATTTTCCCATTTGTGCAAATTGCTTCTGTTAAGCCAATGCATGTTTTTTTTATGCCACACACTGCATATACCAACACAATACCTGATTTTGAAAAGTTTGAATTTCATTAAAATCCATAAATTTATAGTTTGCTCGTATTGCACTCTGCTTGAAAAGTACGCAGTTTGGCAGTCACCTCGAGCTTAGCGAAAAAAATGCTAATTCTCCCATGGAAAACGCCTAGCAATCCATTCGAAATATTGATTATGCTGGCTGGCCCGTTTCACAGGCCGATTCATATAGTAAGTGGCCAGGAATTCGTAAAGTAACGGCTAGGTCTTGTTTCCTTATTTGCTATAGCAGTTTCTTGTCCATTCAAATCTCCAAAGCAATGAAAGAAACTCGCATAACTGGTTGAAAAAATCACACTAACCCCTTATGCTTAAAATTTCGCAGGGCTGTTGTTTAGCCGTCTCCTTCATAGACCTTACATTGTTATTTATGTGGTATTGTATATATGTGCATACGTGTGTTTGTAAATTTGATTTCAAGCTTAAATCGCTTTTGAGTGTTTCGCAAATTTATGTTTACGTCATTCACTTTTAACAATACTCACTTTTGAAGGCAACATTTGCTTGCTAAGATGTCTAAAGTCCGAATTTAACAACCAATACATAAATGGATTCCAAAAGCTGTTACTTAATGCGGTCCACGTGACAAGAAAGTCTAGAAATGGCGGCAACTGCAATTAAATCGTACCGAAACGAAATAGTAAATCATTCAGTTCTAATATCCAATCAAACGATAGCATACAACACGATCTCGTATATTGACGTGTTCAACTCTATTATAGAGCAATTTTTTGTAACATTCCTTACGGCTCACTGCATAAATCTACTTTTTTTAATTAACATTAACAAAAAGGTGATAAATAATTTTCTATTGTACCGTTTATACCGATTTCCAATTTGGGGAATTCATGCCAATATTTAAAAATTTTTCCCGATCTTTACCTCTAACCCCGATGTGAATATGAATTTTTTATACCTTCGATCCAGTGCATGCTGTTACAATTTCTTGTATAGTCCATGGTGTAACCATCACGATGAAACCCAGTGAAATGGCGGCCATAGAACGTGACGTTGACCCACTAGAATTTTTTACGTGTATAGGCACGATCTGTAAAACACACACACAGCCCAAAAAAAGCCATAACTGTATTTACGAAATAAGGATTATAATAACTTATAGTAGTAGTAGTAGTAGTAGTAGTAGTAGTAGTAGTATACTAGTATAGCAGAGGAAATCAAGGAAAGCTTCTTCCACATTAACAACACCGAGAGTCATCTGTTGGTATTAATTACCGGTTAATGACAAGCTAAGCTTAACTTATTTCTGACCAACAAATCATTTTTTTCTTTGCTCCTTTTGTCTTCATGTTTAATAATCACGACTACTTGTTGTAGCTTAAATTGTCGTTTGTTTGTATGTTTTTATTTATTTTTGTAAATATAATAAAGACATGTCTTTTTATGTGAGTAAGGATATAGTAACGCATATTGTGAACTTAACTTCATTTATTGTTTCCATTCATGGCTCAGAAGTGATAACAAGTAACAAATGAGAAGAAACAAGTAAGAAAATTAAATTCGGTCAGAACCGAATCTTTTATACCCATCAGCGTTTACCCGCAACAAAGTTTAAAAGAAGTAAAAGGACAAAATTCTTAAGCTGTGTAGTATAGAGTGGGTGCAGTTGCTTTCTTCTATTTTTAAAAGAAATGTTTTTGCCATAGAGGTATGTGGGCGTTGTAGGCGTATTTTTTGAAAAGTTTAAGTCAGGTCGAAAATCTTTTGTAAATTTGTAGGCCATGTTATCATCGCAAACAGACCGATGGGCAGACGGGCATGTTTAAGTGCATTCAAGAGGGGTTTTTATAGCTTGCTTCTGCGTATTGTAAAGGCATTAAAAAATAATAATTAAATTTTAATACACTACAATATTGGGTAAGCGTAACCAACTTTTCCCATTTTTGTACGAAAATGCTACCCTAGGGGGTCGCCCATAGAGTATGCGTTCAAATTTTTATACATTTATTTAGCTATAGCTTTCTATTTAAAAAACGCAGGTGTTCTGAGTTTAGGTAGTGCCGTGGACGTGTCCTTCGACCGGTTTGGCCCATTCTCAAAAGCAACCTGCGTGAAAAAACTTCCAATGTTTCTGCCAAATTTGAAGTCGATAGCTTCATTTTTGCAGTCCGGAGAAGGTTTTATAACAGATATTACACAGACGGACCAACGGGCAGACGGACATGCTCAAATCGATTTAGAATTTGATGCTGAGCATGAATATGTACATACTTTGCGGGGTCTCTGATGCTTCGTTCTGCGCGTTGCAAACGTTTTGACAAAATGAATATACCCCTCATCGTTCGATGATAGCGATGCCAAGTGAAATTTTAAACGTACGCTCAGATGTTGCTTGTATTGAAACTGTCAATTTTTATACCCAACACCGAAACGTGGAGATGCACTTGACTTATCTTTCCGTTTATAACTGTGTCTTGAACGCACGCCAAGTGTTACATACGTGTCATTACGTGTCGAGTTATGATGTCCTTTTTTTCGTCAGTCTTTTTTTTAAATGCACGCAAAGGCACCGATGCTGCATTTAAGTTCGCAAGTGATTAATGTTAAGGTAGAGCTCACCGCGACAATACACAAAACGCAGTAACTTACAACGCACAACATTGATCGAAGATTTAATACAATGTTAGTTACCAAAAAAAAATTGTGTACAAGAATTTTGAAATCTGCCCGAATTTAATGATTTTTCTGTTACCTCAACTAATTGCAAAAACTTGTATCCTTATACTTGATAAGAGCGCGAGGCTGAGGAGAGACAAATCTTTTTTCATTTACCTTCTTTGTGATTGCATTTGTTGGCCCTCCAAGACCCATGCCCAAACCCATTGTCACATTTAAATTCATAATAGGGTATTGGTGTTTTTGGGCCGAATGTTGAGTTGCGGCAGTAAGAGGCATGGTTGGATCATTAAGTCGAAAACGACTCATATGGAAACTGGAACCATAACAATACATCAGTACCATTGTGGTGGGGAAGTAGAATGCACACGTAGCCAATATCCGATATGAAGGCTTACTAAAAAACGGTTCGCAAGCCATTAGTCCCGTGTTGTTAAAATAATAGCCTAAAAAATTAATAGATATAGTAACTGATAAATTAAGCGTTCACTTTTGTGTTCACTATGTGTGTGTCGAAATGTGGGATAAACCAAAATAATACGTATCTATGCAAGCAAAGTTATGCAAAAGACTTTCTTTAATTCAACAAATTCTGACCAGACATAAGAAAATCAAAAATAAATGGCGACATTCTTATCTTCATAGTTGTGTTAAGAGATTGTTTTCACTTTAAACAAAGGCTTAATAAACGTAAAAGCATTTCACATATTCACGTTTTATACAAGACGCGCCAACAATTCTTTTTTGCTTTTTAAATACTCAGACATGGAAATAACTTAAGTAAAATAAAACAAATTACGTAATCTTCCAAAAGATACCCTACTGCTATTGAATATTGCTTTTATAAATACGCACTTGAAGACTCTGTAGAAAAAATAGAAATTCTCTGTCACAGAAGCATGTTCTAAATTATAATCAAAGCGGTCTAAGGCTAGTCACAAGCACACGACTGCACGCAAATAGCAAAAAATTATTATATATATTTTACCCACAACAGATTTTTTCATATCTTATGTGGATTTAGTGCGCTCGTCTATCGTGTGCCGTTGCAACACCTATTCTGAAATGGAAAGATCCACTACCACTACCATATCCACAAATAGTTAATTAAAATTCGCTCGCTCCATAGCGAATATAGTTTTTCATTATATTCAATAAGTTCGCTTCTTCTTGTTGTGTGATACCTATACACTTGGCACAGAGTTTACGTTCACGTGCTAACATTTCTAATAGTAATTGTACAAATATTCTTCTTCTTCTTCTTCTTTTTATAGTTAAAAATGGCAATTTTACAACCGTCTGCTTTAAATTCGACGATTTTTCCATTTGTGAATAATGGTTTCATTGCCAATATTTCTTGGTGTTAGTGACCGTAAGCAATTTTAAAAAATGATGTCGCTTGAAATCTCAAATTCTGGGTCACATGGAATCTATGGAATATCATGCAAACATTTAAGACGTACTCCCTAAACTCTTGACTTGAGATATCGTAACCTTATTATACATTTTTTTATTTGAACCGATATCAGTAATAAGCATCCAAAAAATATTAGTTACGAATAGAATAACACAACTTACCTTTCGGCAAGACCAAAAATCCGAATATTGTTAGACTGATAATCCATGTAAGGCTCAGTACAGCGACACAACCCTTTGCGCATGTTCAGGAAGATAAAAAGGTAAAAACATAAAAATATACTCTACGGTCTAATAAAAAAAAGATTGTGATAGTATTTTATGATTCTTTTTAAAATTACTTTCCGCAATCTCTTTGAACAAATTTCTCGATACATGGATTCGAATTCTGAAAAATGCCCTTAAAATTATAGCCATTGCTATGTTTCTATTTCGCGCAGGTAAAATGTCAGACGCAAGCGTAGCCAAACTTGATGAATTCAAAAACTTCAAGAACAAGTGCGGCCTTCTTCTATGATATTAATATTAAGTTATTTATGGAGGCGTATGTGAAAAGGTCTACATTTACGGCACATGAATAGCCGCGACCATCAAGTCAGTATTCGTGGATTCAATTTTCAAGGCAGTAGCGTTTATTTTCGTGGTAGTGGGTGCTCAGTCTAGGCACACACCCACTAGGTTGCGAGCGCTTTCCTATCTTCTTGTCACTGCTTACTTTTTTGCCGACCGATCGATCATCATATTACACAAATCCCTTGAATAGTTGGTCATATTATACAAAAAAAAAAAAAAAAAAAAAAAAGACATATTTTTACAAGTCGCATAATGACATGTAATGACCGTGTCCAAACTTTTATTGAATCAAGTTCTTATCGTTTTCAAATTCTAAAGTTCCTAGTAAAAGTGAAAAGTTTTTCGAAAATTTTCGAAATTTCAGTTTTCAGTTCGCCCCGCTTCCATTTCTTTCATTTCATTTTCCGTTCCAAAAATCACAAATCTTTATTTAATCTGAATTCCCCTTGCCGCGTCCCCTTCAAAACGAGACAACACACACACACACACAAATTGGAATATTGTAGTTTATTCACTTCCTAATTTATGAATGTTTTTATGTGTGTGCACATATATGGATATTTGGTTACTTTGCCAAATTTTTTCATAATTTAGTTTTTACTCGTTTTGGCTTAAATGCATGCCGATGAAAACATGTAAAGTGGGTGCTATAATAATGTTGCGTCTTTTAAGTTTTATTTTTAGTTCTTGCTTTCAAATTTTTCGGGTAAATTTATCTTCGTACAGGATTTCCTTTTCGAAAACTTTGCAAGGCTATTAAAGTGTTGGTTTTTGGAACGACATTCATTTTTGGCCATCCATGCACATACATATATATTTATATATATATATATATATATGTATGGATGAATGTACATAAGTAGATATATTTTTACTTAAATAATTCTTTTTTATTACCTTTTTACTTGAATGTTGATAATAGCGTCGTGGATGTAATGCGCACATATACCTATCCACCGCCATACAAACCAATATTACAGCACTTTGCTGAGAGAGCGCACCACGCAGTAGAGCCTTTAAAGAATCAGTTGCAAACATAGATATATATATATATATATATATCAAAAAATAAAACATATCTAATTTTAACGCAAACGCTAACACTAACAAAATCGCATATGTGTATTCTTCAATAAGTTTCAGCCACATTTTCAAACTCCACTATGTACGGTTGTGCTTGTGATTACGTTAGCTTCGCACTTGATTTGTGTGTTTAAATAAATCTTTTTCATGAGGTGCTTATACTACTAAACTTCATTGAACATATAAAGACGTAAAGTATCACAAATTATTAAATTATTTTTCATCAGTCAATATCTCAATTTTTTCACATATGACGTCAGCTGATTAGATTTACATCACTTTTGAAGATAGAAATTTTGTAATATTTCGCGTATTTTGAAGAATATGATCGGTTGCGTAACGCACAATGTTACATAAAAAACATGATATAATTCTATTAAAAGATACGCTCAAGCGTGTATTAACAAAGTAAATTGCAAAGGTTAAGTTGCACTGTATAAAAAGCGAAAAAGATAAACAATTTGTGTTCATCTTACTTTGAATTAGTTTGAATTCGCACGCCTTACCCCAACACGATTTACAAAAATTTGCAAAATATCTAGCTAATGATAGGCGTGTCAGTTAGTCGATCGGATCTTTCTTTACACTGACTTTTAGTTGGGCGTAGAAAATACAAAAATGTAGCAATCAATAATTTGTGAGTCAATGTAAGAAATCAAGTTTTCAGATAATGATCGTTGGGGGCAAAATTTGCAAATGAAACTTATTGCGGTTATGATCGTTGAAGCGGTGGCGTAACACAAATAACAAAAATAACATCGTTTAAGTCAAGGTAACTCGTAAGCAAATCATCGAAATGACATAAAATGTTGACAGAGTCAGCCCTTTCTAAAAATATTAGTGTTTATCCTAACATCCCTCAGATTAGGATCGTGCTAGTGGGTTATGAGCAGCGTAAATTCTATTTACAAAGTCTACAAGAAATTGTTTATAAAAACTAAAATCTCCGCATTTCACTCTACACTTCACTGTATTGAGCTCACACACACCAGATCGTCTTCTTACAGGGCATTTCCATCCTCTGCATAGAACAAATCCCCAGGAATTTTTTGGTATTCTTCTCGTCAGCCAGTTTTATTTCCAACGACAGGTAAGTCTTCGATGGATTTCCTTTCGGAAGAGCGAGGTGGTTTCCATGCGGACCTATTTTTTCAAGTGCGCGAATTTCATAACAATGTGGATTTTCTATTAGACGCGTGCTCTATATATCACAGCCGAGAATTATTGACCAATAGGTCGTAATTTAGAAGTTTTCCTTAGAGTGGGCGTATTTAAAATGTAGTCTCTAGGCGTATACATCGGCTTTTTATCTATCTTTCGGGAGTGTCGTACGTTTTATGTTAAGCACATTATTCTGCGATTGTCGTTTTTGCAGTGCACAACTGGTACTCGATACGCAGTCTTTGCAGAAAAGTTACAAATGGGGAAAAAAGTTAGAGTCGACTGTTGGTTGGCTTAGCGGTATAATGCTTGGCTTAGCTTGTTAATAATTTGTTCGAATTACATGGCGTACATCCCTTTGGCGTATATCTTTCTTAATATAAAACATGAAAAGTTTAGAAAAAGTTGGCCTTTTTTGAAAAATTGAAAAGAGAGTATGGGATATGACCGACACGCCGTTCGTGAACGAGTTAAACAAATTCTAGTAAGAAACATTTCAAAAACTTTTGAATGGATTTGCTGCATAAGCAATCTAAACCACTTACTAAGCGGAATGTTAAATGCATAGAGCTTCCAATAGGATTAGCTAAGGTGGGCCTGAAATAAACCAAACGCTGCTTCGAAGTAAAATACAATTAAGTAAATTAATGCTCTACGGCGTAAATTCTAATTTGGATTTTGCCTGGAATTTGCGAATTAATGAATGGATTCGAAAAGTTGTTTCGAATGTTTAAAAGCAGATCA